CCCCAAAACCCCAAAACCCCAAAACCCCAAAATTTTAGATTTTAATAAACCTTAAAACTTGGAAGTAGAAATATCGATGGGAATCTATTTAAAGTTTCCCTTTTAATAACCAATATTCACAAATTCATCAACGGCTTAGAATAACTGATGCATTGAGATGAGCAATGGGAATAAAAGCCAATCATGGGAGATAGAACCTTTCTGTGAGAAGACTCCGAAGAACCAGTTGAAAGTTTAGTTGATGCAATCATGAAATGCTGACACAACACCTCTTTATAAAAATGAAGCTGCTATTTGGGAAACTCTCAAGGTATATTTTGAGAGAGGTATCAAGAGAGTAGATAATTAGAATGCGACTAAGATCTTGAGATATAGCTACCACAATGTACAAGGAGATTTGGATTTATCTCTTGAGAAGTTAGTGCCTGAGTGTGTTGATCTTTTCCTGATCCATTGGACTACGACTGATATTTACTGCAATACTTATGAAGTCAAAGACCCATCAATGTCTAAAACCTGGAAAAAGTTTGAGATTATAAGGGATGAAGGTAAAGTCAAGAATATTGATATCTTTAATGAAACAAATTTTTTTGGCATTGTAGCTGGAGCCAAAGAGTATAAGTTAGTCATGAACCAAATTGAATGTAGATCTTACTCTAGACAACATTGATTGTGGACTTCCAAGGCAAGTTCAGAGTCAATGTCACTGAATAAGCTCCCATTGACTCAGTTGCATTCACAGGAAATAGTTTGCTTGATGACGCAACTCTCAATAAAATCGAAGAGAAACATGAAGCTACTGTTGCTTAAATCTCATATGCATGGGATATGAAAAAGGTATCGCAGCAATTCTTAAGCCAATGAGCAAAGAAGCAAAAAGTTAGAATTTCGATGCTCTTGAAATCACTCTTGATGAGGTAGATATCTAGAAAATTAACCAACTTAATAAAAATAGTAGAGTATTCGGTTCTGAGAACTGGAATTATCCAAAGTTGGAATGAATAAATAGTCTGATCTATTATTCACTTTGCATAAGTTTGAGTCATCAATCTAGTATTTTTATAATGGGGTTTTGGGGTTTTGGGGTTTTGGGG